GAAATACAGCCTATATTGTTTTAATTGTAAGGCAGTTTACATAGTGCTAGTATTTATAGCATTTAATAAATTCTGAATTAAACTGTATTGCATAACTTTTTTGTTTGTTTCTAGTTCTACTCATTTCCTTTGGTTTACAATAATGACAAATTAAAAGCCTGTGCAACTTACAAAACAACATGACTTTATAATAGGCTATCACACTTACTATTTTTCATACACAGTAAATGGGCCTGTATATACATGAAAATTCCTTTTATAGTTTGAGGAAAAGGATTCAATGAAAAAGCATGGTGCCCTAACCTACCTTTCCAACAACTAAAAATATGTCCACACACTGAACACCGCTGAGATTGAGCAATAGACAAAAAATGTCCTCACAATTAGCATTTCTGCGTTGTGGTCATGAAACGCTCGTAATATTTTATCCAGTTTACTTACTATGCCACATTTTGGGTTTTTAACGTAATGAATTACAAATTTCCCCAATGCAGCAGTCACTATAATGTTTGCACGTAGGCCTACTCTTGCTATGTTAATTACGACGTCCAACGTAGTAGCCTACATTTGACGTGGCATAAATGTTTTAAAAATGTAAATGCAAGTGTTTATAAATAACATACAAGTTAACAGTAGTAGTGAGACAATAACAGAGAGATTCCACTGTTGTATTCCTTCATAGTAGCCTAATTCAGTTCTGAATTCAAAGTCGAGGCTGATTTATCTGAATAGCCGGCATATTACTCTTATTCAACCTTACTTGTAGGTAACCACCTATATGTTATCAAGACATTACTCACATGTTATTTTTAGTTATCGATATAATATGCCATGAGAAAAATGTCTTACCTCGGAAAACCTGTCCTCGTGTCAGCGCGCGCTCGTATGTCTCGTGCGCCCATTAATTTCTCATTCACAGTTTTAAATAATATGAATAAACACAATTTATTTAAGTGAGATGTTTGGCAGTTGCCACAGATATGCAAGCCAACTGCTTGACATTTTGTTTTCGTTGTAAAATCGTTCTGTCTTTTGATACCGAGCAGTCCGGAGGCACTTCCGGTTCGGAAAGTTCCACTCAAAAAGACCGAAACAAATCATTTCAAATCATAAGATTGATTGTGCTACAAATATGAATCTGTATCCATCAACCTGAATGAATGAGCTCAACATTCTCCTTCATGATCTATTTACAGACGCCAAGAGAATAAGTTAATGCTTGGAATTTTAATGTTAATTAAATGTTAAAACAAGAATCAGTCAGCTGCACTATTTTTCTCCTGATTACTTTCATTTTTCCTTTGTATTCTGCTGTATCAGTATAAAGACAACATATACTGCGCATTTGTGGTCTGCTCTCCCGATTTATGAATAATAGCATGTAAATACAATATTTGTTATCTGTCAAAATGATGGAAATCACTTTCAAATATTATCACAATGTATGTTAATGAAGTGTATTGAACTACAGTGATATACGTTTAAATTTACTTTTAATGTTTGATAGTTGAAGGTAGCTAAATATAATAATACCTCATTGCACTCATTTTTTGAAAATGCTTATTGTGTTCATAGAACAAACCTTTCACTTATTGTTTACAGTTTAGCGGATGTCACTCCCATAATTCTTGCAAAGCATCAGGGGGCGTAGGAAAAAGTGGCTAGGCCTATTTATTTACTTTTATTTATTTATTTTCATTTTAGGCGCATCTAGAACATCGTTTAAAAAGCAATGTTGTTCAACCATGTTGTGCTTGCTGGGTAGTGGGAAGTCTGACTTGTTTCTGTAAATCAATTCTTTCAATCAAACAGATTGAACTTCGTTTCAATGATTCAGAGGTTCTTTTACAGTTAGGACAGTGGTTTTCAATCCTGGTCCTAAGGAGCCACATCGCACTAGACTTTAGGACACCGCGGTCGTAATTTGACGTCACACTGTGGTGCCTTTTTTTTTTTTTAAAGAATTCAATGTATAATACTTTCCAAAATGTAACAAATCTGCAATCTACTCCACTTTACTGCAACGCTGCAATCCTCAGATTTAAAGTTTGCGCTCTTTTAATTCAGATGAGAGGTCACACCATGATGTATCAATCTTCTATTTCTCACTCATCTTAACATGTACAGTAAGGGGCCCAAAAACCAAACTGGATACATGAACCCCAGTGGGCTGTGGGTAAAG